CCTCTGGTTATGCGATCGGAGCAGTTCTCGAACAAGACGGTAAACCCATCGGCTTCCTCAGCCAAGTCATTGACCCTCCTGATGTGCGCCAATGGCCGAAAGCTTACTCGAAGTGTCCTGCTTTTCGCGTTCCCTACAAAGCCTCAGCAAACCAACCAGGAGAAGCTCTGCAAATCGAGTTTTGTAATCGCCAATTTACCTTTCGCCACGTAGAGCCTTACCTGCACATCCGCGTTCATGGACTGTGGCACATCTGCGTCCCACAATTCCCTGAGTTCCTAACTCACGTTCTGCATTCGCATCACGATCATGTCACAGCCGGCCATCGAGGCCAGAAGAAACCCTTTGCGGCTCTCAGCAAGCACCACTACTGGCCTGGAATGCGTGCCTACACCACCGCTTATGTTGAGTCATGTACCCACTGTCGCGCTTCAAAGTCCATTAACCAGAAGCCTGCAGGCCTTCTTCAACAGCTGCTTATCCCTTCTCGTCGGTGGGCACACGTGAGCCTCGATTTCGTCACAGATCTTCCCCTTACAACGACAGGGCACGACTCGATCCTTGTCATGGTCGACTCCCTTAGCAAGATGGCGCATTTCGTTCCCGCAAAGAAGTCATTCACAGCAGCAGACACCGTGGAGATTCTCTCAGACCGTCTTGTATCACGGTTTTCCAGAGGTGCTCATATCGGAACGCGACCCCCGTTTCCAGTCGGATCTTTGGCAACAACTCTGTAGCCGCTTTAACATCAAACGGTGCATGTCCTCGTCCTACCATCTCCAAAGCGACCCCCAAACTGAAAGGGTTAACCGCACACCGGAGCAGATGCTTCGTACCTATATCAAATCTGACGAACGCGAGTGAGAGCGTTTGCTTCCGGCCCTGGAACTTGCCTACAACATAACAAGTCATTCATCCACTGAGCTCTCTCCTTTCGAGGTCTTGATTGGCGAGAACCCGTTGACTGCTGCGGACCTTGATATCGTAGGCGCGTTAGCTCCTACACTCACTCCTCCGATGACTAAGCTATTCCGGCAGCTCTGCGACAGGGCACAGAGTCACATCTTGAAGGCAAAATGGCAGCAGAAGTACTACGCGGACACAAATCGTCGAGCAGTGGAGTATGGGGTGGGAGACAAGGTCTGGCTCAGCAGCAAGCACCTACCGCCTTTCCACAGCTGCCCTAAGTTCGAGCCACGCTACCGTGGACCCTTCGAAGTCATCGAACGCATAGGATCCGTCGCTTACCGTCTCGCTCTGCATCCCACGTATGAATGCCATGACGTTTTCCACGTTTCGCAGCTAGTTCCTGACCGCCCCCGCCCTCCCGCTTTGGTTTCTTCGGCAGCTGATGCGGCCTGGCCTCCTATCCACGATGCAGCAGGCAATCTCACAGCGGAATACAAAGTCGACTATATTATGGACCAACGCAGCTCAGGAGATGCAGCCCAGTACCTCGTGAAGTGGCGCGGGGCCCCTGAAGAGCAAGCCACATGGGAGCCAGCTCATCACCTTACTGGCTGTCCGGCTTTGCTTCGCGCTTGGTGCCCCCGCCAACGAAGACGCCTTCAGGCTCGAAGCAACTTGGGTCCTTCCGAAGCGTAGACGTACGGGTCCGCCACGTTCCAGCTCCTACAGCATGAGCACCCCTTCAATGAGGAGGGGGGAGGGAGAGATGCGCCCCGCGCGCGCTCACCACGTCAGCTTTAGAAGAGCACAGAGATTGCAAAGGCAAAAATAATGCATTTGGGACAGGTCTCTTCAGTCCGGCAAAGGGGGAAGTTGTAGTGCTGAGGCACTACAATGGGGCTGGCTAGTGTCCTAGAGATGATAGCTAACTAGCGACCTACAAGGGGCCGCAACACTGGAGGAGGACAGGACCCTCCCAATAGGATTACAATAAGAAAAACTGTCTATCAGTTCTAATGAATACGTGAAATGTGTAGAAATTGTGTGGAGATTGGGGCTGACGATAGAGCCGGCGCCAGTGCGGGCCTCCTCCCCATAGGGCCTAGGAGGCGCGCTCCCAGAGTGGGGTGAATCGAACAGACAGATTTGAAACACTTAAGAATTGTTGTATTACGGTGGAATGAAGCTATAGTGTCCCAGAAATGGGGCTACGCTAGGCGTAGTTTGTAGGCCTGCTCGAGGGGCAGGAAGCAGCGTAGTCGCAGCAGTAGGCGCCGCGCACTACAATGCTACTGCCTGCCCCCTCGAATAGGGGCCTGTGATAACCGTCTACCTACGGCGCATTTTCTTGAAACACTAGCCGAACTATCGCGAAATATATTTATTTATAATTTTTCAAAATCTATTCTCCTCAAAATCCCCCCCACTCGGGATTCTCGCCTCCTAGGCCCTGTGGGGAGGAGGCCTGCATTGGCGCCGGCGCTATCGCCAGCCCCAATCTCAGGGCATTTTCAGGCACGTCTGGTGTATACACGCTAATTCGCCGACAGATTGGCCTACTTCGATCCTAGTAAGAGGGTTTTGTCCTCGTGCCGTGTTATGACCTCTTGTAGGTCACCGGCTAGGTATCTTCTATAGGTCACCAGCAAGCCCTATTGTAGTGTCTGTGCGTTACACCAATCTTAAGGCATTTGCAGGCGTTTCTAGTCTATACATGTTAATGTGCTGATAAATTGCCTTTCTATTTCACTAGTAAGGGCCCAATCCGCGTCTCAAGCTCTTAACCGCCTATAGGTCAACGGTTAGCTATCCTCTATGGGTCACCAGCAATCCCTATTGTAGTGCCTGCGGACTACATAAGGGGACCCAGCTAGGCTTTCGCAGCTGACTCAGGGAAATTCAAAGTAATAATTCGATTAACTTACACAGGTATTCTTCAGGCGATGATGACGGGATTGATCAACATTTGAATACTGGCTACCCCATTTCGGATAAACTAGAAACAGCGACCGCGTACGAGCAGAGGGACCCCAACTTGATAACCTGCAGATACTAACAGGAGACAACGTATCTGCAATTCAAGAGGTGGAAAGAGTTCTTTGCTCCTCCGGTTTCATGGCCTCTAAACACGCTGATGGGAAGCTCGAAAAGAGGCTGCCAGCACGCCCTTGGAATACCCAGAAGCGTGCACCTAACAGCGAATGAGGCCTACAGTAAGGGAAGTGACAGAAAAACGATGCACTAAAGAGAGCAGGGAAAAGCCCCAGAAATAGGAGCACAGGCTCTGTAGTACGCCGTGCTCTCGCTGCCGTACTACGTGGAATCTAAACCTTCACCGGCGGGCGAGCTCCAATGGTCAAACTCGGAACCTTACTTGTTTCTTCGAAGTCTCCCCGTTTGGGAGAATCCAAAGTTACACATTCATCAGAATGCAACTGACTGAGGAGCCCATTTCCACGATATTCGTGACTACAGCTCTCTTTGCTCGGTCGGTGCTTCGGCACCCCGGGTGACAGATCAACCCGCCTCGTGCGTCGGCCTACGGCGGTGCCAAGATGGCTGCTTTATGTGATAATTTGGTATTTGTTTCATGAGATATACGTCAATTGCAGAGGGCTTTCCGATGGGTGACATATTTATGGGACAGGTATCAACGTAGTACCAGCAGAGGGCGCTGTGCACTACGATTGGCATGGAGACCGCCAGGTGTAGTGCGCGGGCACTACAATGGCGTTTGTTGGTGACATGTGGACGTTAGCACGCCAAACGAACGCAGCTAACTTACTAGAAGTAATAACCAAGGCAGTTTATACGCGAAACAGCATTTATAGGCAAGTGGCGTTTGTTACAATCCTCACGTTGTGGCTGGCGATGGCGCCGGCACTACAACGAGTTACTGACCCATCCGGGTCAGGCGATTCAGAACTATGATTCTCGACATTTAAGAAGTTCGATCAACAGACTTGAAAGATGACTGGTAGTTGATGTTTTTGGTGCTTTTCCAAGAGGCATGTGTCGAAGGTAGAGAATTGTACAGAGGTAATCCCAGTGCGCAAGACAGGAAGTTACGGAGCAGCAGCAAATAGCGCTGTTCAATACATTTGGCGGCTGTTCAGGGATTGTTCTTCTTCATTTTCAAACCCAGGTGTAGTTAACTTTGCAGTACTTGCCTTCATGATTCACACCCAGACAGCTTAACTCTTTAAGGGACGCACCTGCGCAACGGACTTGTTATAGGTACAACTCAACAGGAGACGCGTGCAATGTCCTCAAGCAGAAAGCCCAGCGGGCCACCGGCCCAACACCCTCCTATACAATCCATTCTGGATTTGCTGGGAGGTGCCAAGTATTTTTCCAATCTTGACCTTGAAGCGGGATTCCCTCAAATATGTATGGCTAAAGAAGATCGATGGAAAGCGGCCCTCCGTTCCGTTAGGGGGCTAGTCGCGTATCGGGTCATGCGTTTCGGTGTCAGCTACGTTTCAGGATAACATCAATGCCTATATACAATCTTTATTAGGACAGGGCGCCAGAACATCACCCCCAAACGCTATGGCGTTTGGGGATGATGTTCTTATCTATAGTTCCGACCTCCCTGGGCACGTTTCCCTCCTGCGACAAGTCCTAAGTTTTTTTCTCGAACATCAATTTTGCCCAAAATCCCGCAGATGCAAGTGTGCAAAACAGGCGCTCATATATTTGGGGTATAGCATCAGTTTTGAAGGCTTCAAACCCGCTGCAGACAAGATCGAAGCCGTAAGCAATGGCCTGAGCTGCTGACGAACGAGACGCAGGTACGCTAGTTCGTCGGCATCATTAATTATTGCCGAATGTTCATGGGACCTGATTATGCGGACGTCGCCCGGCCACTGGTTAATCTTACACATCGAGAAGCTGACTTCAAATGGATAGAGCTTCACACGCAAACGGTGCGGCAGCTCGAACAGCGCCTAGTCGATTTCGGTCTCACTGTATTACAGGTCCCTGACACCACAAAGCCGGTCTCCGTTCGCGAACGCCCAGACAACGCAACCAGCCACTTCCACATTCACCTCTGCTGCCCAATTCGTAGCCGTGATTTGGCTGATAACGGCCAATCAATTTTAAGTACGGGAGCGCTGGGGCACAAAACACTTCGGTTGTGCGCATTCTGTTGGGCCCGTTTCGGCCTTCTTCAGGTAGGCTCAATGCACTAAAGCGTCGCCGTGTAAAATACTATTATACCTTGTCTTCCCAAGAGCATTGAACCAGACCTAGTTTTGTGACTAGTGTCTCTACTGAGTTCAGGCAAATCTGTATAATACTTTCCTTCTCATATACAACTAGCTGCAAGGCCGTGAATTCTTGTCAAACTCACGTGGACTGCAAGGTCCCCTAGTTGCGTCGCCTCGTACTCCAACGGTACAACTACGTTGATTTGGTTCATCTTCAATGAGGGCTACACTGCCTTTTCTTGAGAATTTCCTTTAATGATATGCTCGTGTCATGGTGGCCTGCCGTCATGAGTGTGGGAGCCACTTTCGGCGCTTCTCAGCTGGTTCCTAGTGCACATATCCTGGGGTTGGTTGTGTCCTGTGCATGCACCTACCACGTTCCAGTTCCGCACATGAATAATTTAGTGGCTCTGAGATATACAAAACTAAAGTTTCCAGGGCCCTGTAAAATTAGTTTCCGTACCCTGGACCGTCTATAAATATGAATATCCCAGAGCAGCCGTGAACTATAGTGAGCCAGGCGACGCCTAGCTAGGACTCATCACAAGTTACAGAGATGTTCACGTGCCCCTATATGAAAATGTGGAGCAAAACTTCATGAAACCATTGGTGTTTTATTATTCATAGATTGCTTCTCCAAAGAGGAATTCTGTGTTTCTGTATCTCTCGGCGCGCGAGTCACAGCTGGCTGCACCTGTGACCATGACAGTTCCAGCCTCTGATAGATCTCTAAAATACTCTTTGCCATGCATTCTACTTAAGCCAGGTTTGTATAACAGAAGCAACTTCGCGGAACATCAGAGTGCTTTGGAATTCAAACTTACTTTCAAAGCCTTTCCTTCGTCTTTGCCAAAAGTAAGCTTTCACTTGAGCTTTTTCCTCTTACTGTAAAAAGCGGCATTCGATGTGATTACGAAATTGTCACCTACTTCGAATGTCGGCAGCTTCGGGCGATTATACTCAAAGTCGGCGATCACGCTCTTCAGCCTATGAAATAGCTCTCCGAAGTAAATCTGCTTGGTATTACTGCGGCTCAAGCACAGTAGTCCCCTAATGCTCCGCAGTTTACTACAGGAGCCCAACGGAAGACTTTGGACTTACGGAACAAGGTTGGAAGGCGTGCCACTGCAGTACAAGTCGGATGCCTGGACGAGAGGAAAGTGAAAAGCCTTTTTTAAACTCCATGGGTCGAAAGCTCTACGTGCCCACTAATGCTGTTTCGCGCCTTGATCTCCACGTTCTGGATCCAAGCTCTCTTAGCATGTAGTTGTACAGAAAAGTGCAAAAGTTACAACAAGGTCACATTCTTTGAAGTGGCCCTCGAGGAACAGAAAATTTCAAGCTCAGTTGCTCACGTTAGTGCAGGGCGAGTTCGAAGAGAATTCGAGGTCACTCTCGCGAGGAATCTACACAAGTACGAGAAGAGAATCTCAGATAGTCCAGAGAGTAGACCACTACTCGAGAGGAACGTTGGATTCTGCACACCACAAGCTAAAGGTTTTGGAATTCGCCAGGGGCCAAAGCTTAAGCGAAGTGCCAGTGAAGATCACAACTCAATCGCTAGATTAGCGTGCGGCCTGAGCCTGATCTCCTTAATGTTTCGAATCAATGAATAGGAGTACTAGCAGATCAGCTTCGAGGATATAACACTCACGCTAAGAGCTTGCAGTTGGCACTATAAGCCCTAAACCGTTCCCGTGGGGAGTCAAAAGACGTTATCTCGGTAAGTCTTGTCAACAGTACTCTAACACCCCTGCAGAACTATTTCAGAATTTCGCAACCGTCGATTGAAACTTTTCGACGAAGCTAATCGAGCCGCAGTGCAACTCTCCACAGAAGTTGATGTGGCACTGAACCAGAGCACCGCAAGAATAAACTGAATGCTTCGACAGAGGCAATAATTGAACCGATAAGCATTTTATGGGGCGTTTTCAGTGCCCAGTTCAACAGGACGGCGTTAACTGAGTGCTAGAACAACGGTAGACAGCGCGATCGAGATTACAAGTGGGGCACCAAAGTTGCGAACGTCCGAAATATTTGAAAGCCCATACGCCAAAATTTGCTTCATCAAACAAGGGAAATATGTCTTTGCCGAATGCGCCTGCCTAGGGTGGAACAGAAGGAACGAAACCACGCCGGGGGGAGACCGGGGCAGGTCATTGGGGAAAATGCCGGGAGGGGACGACAGTGATAGCATCACCCGTGCATGCGCCTATGCAAATTTTTGAGTGATTGTAGCAATCAAAAATCTAGTTTTCCTTTTCATGTTGGTTTTCTCCAACTACCCGTTTTTTGGCGATGCGAAAATAACCACGGCAATCAGAGAAGCAGACGGCATCATATGGCAGAAACCGTTCCCTGCTTTATCACAAATAATGTCGTAAATTTGAGTTGATTTGGAAGAAAGTGTCGAGCGGAACTTCTTGATGCTGAATGCCTCTCGAGTTTTCAATTCGTAACTGGCACTTCGACAGCATTCTGCACGGTTTAACGCGAACAAGGTTTCGAGTGGGCCTTCCCCGTGCATTGAAGCCCTGAAGTGCAGACTCAGGTACAATGGCAGACGCATTGTGGCCTGGCCAGGCCGCTGGCCTGGGCCAAGGTTGGGAACAACTAAGAGACGAACCGCAATCCACAAGAGCAAAGAATCAAGCGGACAGTATGGGGGCTGACAAGCCGGTCCAGAGTTTCCACCCAACGAATGAGGCGTCTTCTTCTTACCGGTGGAAAAATTTCGGAGCGATTGGGGCAGCGATGCTGTTGGCTCTGGCGCTGACGTTAGGAATAACCAAGGCACGACAAAGGGCAGGAATTGGTATGACGCCATCAAAACCAGAATATTTGCAGCCTTCCGAAGGAAGTCAGCAAGAATTTTCTACAAAAGAATTAGAATACTTTGCCGGGCCCCTTAAAGCCGATAAGGCCCAGGTAACTCTAGAAGACGAAGTAACTGGAGGCACCGTCCCTCCACCTCTCGAACAGCAAGCAGATGAGGCTGAAGAGGAGCCACAAGAGCTAGCAAAAGAAACGGTTGAACAAGCCTACGTACCGGCACAGCACACCCCAGCTCCCCTAATCGAAGCAGGAGACGAGGAGCCGCCTGCGGACGGTGACAATGTGACACCTCGAGCTGGTGAGGCTGCAGGGGAGCCGGAAGAATCGGCAGAATCAGAAGAGAGTGAAGAGGAAACGGAAGGCAGTTCTACAGCGGAGTCTGAAGCAGGAGACGAGGAGCCGCCTGCGGACGGTGACAATATGACACCTCGAGCTGCAGAGGCTGCAGGGGAGCCGGCAGAATCGGCAGAATCAGAAGAGAGTGAAGCGGAAACGGATGGCATTTCTGCAGCGGAGTCTGGAGCAGGAGACGAGGAGCCGCCTGCGGACGGTGACAATGTGACACCTCGAGCTGGTGAGGCTGCAGGGGAGCCGGAAGAACCGGCAGAATCAGAAGAGAGTGAAGCGGAAACGGATGGCATTAGACGTCGCCTCAGACCTCGTCCTCTGCTCCTCGGCGGACGCCTGCCACTGTATGTGACACCTCGAGCTGGTGAGGCTGCAGGGGAGCCGGAAGAATCGGCAGAATCAGAAGAGAGTGAAGAGGAAACGGAAGGCAGTTCTGCAGCGGAGTCTGAAGCAGGAGACGAGGAGCCGCCTGCGGACGGTGACAATGTGACACCTCGAGCTGGTGAGGC